TTATTACAAATTATACATAAAACTCTACATGTACGTGATGATGTCTTATAATAACTCGAATAACTAACATTGTTATATAACTACGTACGAACGGATTTCATCGCGTATTATTATTGATAGGTAGCTAATTGATTCCAGACAGTTTGAACGCTAATATCAAATCGTCAATGTAGCATCACACATACTTAAGTTAAAATACTTCAAAAATGTTGTGTGTTCCGTGTTGTCTATAATAAAATCGTTACTTGTAATGGAAAATCTGTCAGTACAGACTCTACATACATTTATGGTAATGCGGTTTTGATTTTCAAAAACAGATCCATCAACTATCACAAAGTATACAGACAATATAGCCGCAACAATTACAACCTGCTGATTGCCTACGTAACGATGCTCAAACATTGCTGCGTGTTGCCCAATACAATTAATTTAAGATATTTTTGTCTCCGTTGCCAAATGCGGCGGTGCTGCCCACGCGAAGCCATCCATGTGTTCTTTACGTGGACAAATATAGGTTTTTAACCACAAAACGACAATCACCGGCTAAACCCCAGTCAATACTTTTACTTTGAAGGTTATTCTGCCATTAAATAAGTAATAAAGTTCGAAGTTTAATATAACTATGACGAAAGAGCAAGAAAATATTTTACGATTCTATTAAATATTTTATGATTAGTCTGAGCTACAAAATACTTCGAAGTGGTAAATTTATTTTTGATTCTACTATAAACTTGAAATGTATATGTGTGTTGAACTGTTTTACTAATGTTACTCTTTTTTACGGTGAAAAAACAAAAGAATGTCTTAGTTTTGCATATTAGGAATTAAAAATATTAAAATTAATACCTTTTCAACATGTTCGGCATCATAATTCACGATTCACTACGTCTATATCATTTTGACTAAACAGGTTAGAATTATCGTTTCCCGTAAAACGAACTGAGCGGCGCTGTTTTATTGAATTCACTAAACTGGCTGCAAAGATGTGGTTATCAATGACAGATTGGAGTTCTCTCAACGTTATCATCTGCGATATCTAAAAACAACACGTCAATCATGGGGACTTGACACTTATCTCGTCGTTTGATAATACGCCTTCCATTGTATCGTCACGTGGAAATGTACAAAAAATTCTCTGGCAGTCACCGATAATTCTGCATATCGTGTAGACAGAACGAAGACAATGTTCAAGATTAGGATATACGTAAATATTAAGAGCGGTGTCAAATCAAATCAAATCAAAAAGTAAAGTATTTTGTTGGTTACCAGCATTACCCGGCAAAAATTGTATCTCCACGTAAAGAAGAACGTGCTAAGAACAGTTTTGCTAAAACATAGAAGAGACTGCAAAGAGAAATGTAATTTTTTTTATCTAAGAATCTGCGAGGGCTACGCAGAATAAGCCACGAAAGCTTTTGTCATAATCGAATGACTGTTTTAGGAGCGCACAGATGACAAACATTTATAAATAAACAAATCATTAAACCTCTTTTCACGAAAAAAGGCCACCGTCGACCGCAAGGGCGACCTTATTGTATAATATTTATGTAATACACCTCAAGTGAGGGTTTTACATATCTCAGATACGATTTTCTCATGTAATAATTCTTTAAGTTAAATCACAGTAAATTTCAAATAAACAAAGTAACTAGTATCATTGGTGCCGGAACTAGTTTTGTTAATAGATTCGAAAGGGCGGAGAAACGGCAGCTTCTGTAATACAAAGCAGAATCAAACAAAAAAAGTAGCTGACATGAAATAGTTTATTCACATACAACAGTAAATTCATCCTAACTATGAAATATTTTGTATGATAAAATCATAAAGATTTTCTTATACAGAATATTTTAACAGTAGAAATATCCTATATATCATCTCCTTTTTCTAGTTCGCTTAACTGCCACAGCATTTTTATTAGGTTATTTTTATATTTTATCTTCATGGTAAGTTATTTAATTTTAAAAATATATCCTTACTGATATTATATAGGCGAAATTTTTTATGTATGGATGGATGTTTGTTACTCTTTGACACAAAAACTACCAAATAGATTTTAATGAAATTTTTAAATAAAATAGATTATACATCAGAATAACATATATGCTATAATATATATTGTGTGAATCATACAAAATATAGGTAATGATAAGTGTCAACTAAGTAATGCATAATAAAAAGCTCATTGTTAATTCCCTTTGACCACGCAGGAGAAGCCGCGGGTAACAGCTAGTATATGTATACTATTTCCGGGTATAATGGACTAACCAGCCAATATGGCCAGTGCTAATTTCTCCGTAACAAACCAACAACAGTGGTGCACGTATTTACCATATTGACGCGATCATGACGTTGATCCCCACGTTGAGGCTCATGGGAGTTTGTCCTGCCCATGACGCTCGAGAATTGCATGATTTGATGTTATTTTTGATAAGTTTACTCCGTTCTATTATAGTGTGGTGAGTTTTTAACCATATTGCCCAGTTGTTTATACGTTAGACTTCTGTTGTAAAAAAACGTCACTGCCGCCATTATGGCTGAACAGATAAGTGTTGGACGCATATTACATAACTATTTGATATGTTTTCCATTTCACAGACAAACACCAGATTTAACGCAGGGAATAAATAAAAAATGCATTCTCAAACTTTCGAAATAAAAAATGGGCTCACTAAAAGCTTCCAATCCGTATACATACTACTCCTATAAGCCGTTTGATAATAAAGGCCCATTTACACGATGCCATTTTCTTGTACATACAAGAGCAATAATTGAATGCAATAAATTGCGCGCAATAATTGTTAAGACCATTTGTTGTTTAGACCATGCAACTCATTTATTGCTTCAATTTAATTGTATACAACAGGCAAGAAACTGGCACCGTGTAAATGGGCCTTTATAATAGATCTACCAGTCAATATAGTGATTTTTTCGAAGTTGAGAGAAAAACGTTTATTACCTCAAGAACTAGACAAAGAATTGGGACTTAAATATATATCAGCAATTGTAGTTAAGTTGTACGGGTCAGTACTATAACATGACATTAGATTACACACCATGCATTTTCGACATAAAATCAAAATGTTAACAATAATTTTTAAAAATCTGTTTTAAAAACGCACTTTCTTTTCGCCGCCCAACACGAATTTCATTCTAGAAAAATGTTTTATTTAATTTAAGTTTTTAATTAGTTCGTTAATTACCCTAAGCATCTAATTATTTATTCATTATTAAGATCTACACGAGAATAAATAATGTTTGAAGAATCTCTCATTTTGATTCCAGAAAGACATGTCATATTCACCGAAGTTACCTTGTACTCGAAATTATATATTTTGGAAAATAGAGTAAGAAATTATGTTGGTGTGATCAAATAAGTCGATCAATGGTTGTCAACGGGTTATTGTTTATAATTATAAAATTAAAAAAAATGTTCAAATAACAGATCATAATTTGTTGCTATTTAATAACTGACTAGAAACTATTATTGTTTTAATAATTAATAACCGTTGGTATTAAGGAGACAATCAAATGGTAATATTGACACACAAATCCGCCGCAAAATCTTTTTCATGCACCTTTTGAACAAATAATATAATATAAAAGCCTTATAAAACATATATTACGCTTTCTTATATTTCCTTTCTTCTATTAGTTTTCTTCTTTTAGTTCATACCTAGATTTAAATTGAAAAAAATACTTGGGAAAAACCGTTAATATTTACAAATACCAATTTCCGTTCTTAAAATTTCTGCTTATATCTCTAGTGATTCCATACTTCAAATGTACCGATTTACTGTAGACTTTATGTGAGAGAGTATAAAGTTGATTGCATTTTAATTTGTTATCTCAGCAATCAAGTTGCGTTGCGTAGTGCAGTTAAAAAATTGACCGCAGCATTCGTTTCATTTGCAGAGCAATATGAAATATACTACATAAGTGGTCCTTGCGTCACAGTCACACCCATCAAGCCATCGTATTGGCCCATTCAAACACCTGTCATTCGTTGTATGCCAATAATTATGTACATTTACTGTTTCAGTGTACATTCTATAGCCTTCTGTATTTTGCGTCTATTTTTAAATTACGATGAATTCGTTTGTCGTCCAGTTTAAACCCCTTCTTCTTATTACAGTATTACATTACATTATTTTATTCCATTTATTTTGGAATCTACTTGGTAAATAAGAAATCAAAAGTATACGTAATTTGATGTGCCATAGTTGGAATTTTGAAGGTTCATGGTATTTTATCATTATGCATAATGATATTTTGTTAAGTCACATAATGACAACAAAACGGACAAAACGTCGCCTCCGTCGCCAAGAAAATAAATATCGGGAGCACTCACCGAAATATTTTAAAGCCGCGTCGGCCGTTGTAAACAATCAACGTAGGCACTCACAATGTAACTAGAGTTAATTTGGGTATGTTTCACTTCGTTTGCCCTCGTAGTAAATTAATGAATTAACGTGTACGTATGAAAGTATTTGATGCGGAACACGGCGCACGTCTACACACAAGCTCACCCGATCTGTTACTGAATCTGTTTGGTGAGCGTCGCGTTGGTCCCCGTGCCGGACAATTTAACAGCGCTCGCGCATGGGACCTGACCGATTCGCCTCGCCTGCCGCCACAGTACCAGCAGATCGAAAAGACGCCTTTGCTTTAAAATCTATTGCATAACGCGATCCGAATCATATCGTACCTACAAAACTTTTTACAAAACAACCTAAAACGCCAAATTAGACGTTATGTCAATTTAAACGATCCAGTGTGCCTCTGCCAAATATTTTTAACAGTTTTTAATTCTGTGCCGTCGCCAACTTCCTTGCAAGAAGAAGAAGAATAAATCCTGTGCCGTTATTGAAATGGATAGAAAAAGATCGACAGCTGAGTTAGCAAATACCAAATCTGAATGGTATGCGCATGGCAAAGAAGATAATCGCTCGAAAAGTTATTCCAACACTCAACTTTATAAGCAAAATCAAAATTCGGGTGTAATGGAAAGAGTTAATGAGCAAATCTTATCGGAAAGCAGCTCTATAACTTCAGAATCATTCCACTGCGAACATGGATCAGAGGAAAAACCTTATTCCGAAGAGAAAATTATGAAAATATTCATGGCCAAGGAGATAGATCCAATAACAATCGGTATTTTTATTTTGTGATACCATTTGTCTACTTACTTTATTATGGTATTAAAATATATTTTATTTAATAATAAAAATTATTAGCAAACTAAGTCGTTAAAAAAAAGAAAGTATAAATTATCGCAACATAAAGCAGACACGTACTGATTAAGAAACTATAAACATGACACGATCATAATGAAATGCTAGTCCTTTTGTCGCCGATAAAATGAACTTTCCCTCACCCACATAACCTTAAAATCAAGTGACATATATAATTGTAATGATTTCTCGTGTGCCAGTATCTTGAGCTGCATACGGTGTCTAAAGTTTTTCAATTTTAGTCGCAGGCCAAAGGCAACATGATAATATAAGATATATATTAACTTATACAAGATTTCGTCCGCGTTAGTGGATAAAAAGGAATCTGAATCCAAGTTGACAACAATTTTGGTTATCACGCAATGGCTTGGGCCTCCTCAACAATCCTGACAGTAAGAGTTGATGTTGTAATTGGGGTAGACTTTGGTAAACTTATTAAGTTTAAAAAAAACCTTAATACTCTTGCCTTCAAAATACCCATTTTGTCCTTGGACGAAAAGACACGTGAGCAAATTCTTTTAATCCTTTTTAAGCCTACGTATTATGAACGAAGAGGCGACCTCTTAGTTCGAATGCGGAGAATATGGATGGAAGCTAGGTAATCCAATAAAGGAATAAAAGCGTGTGAAAGGGATGCTATTTCAGAGGACTAGGCCCTATTCTGCGCATAGGAATTATTGTTTGGGCTAAGTCAATGTCCGCAATAACTCACTTCGCATGCCACGTCTTAAGATCCAGGACAACCAGATGGTATTGCACTAAAAACTTTCCCACGTGAAGGACCGCTACAGACCGTCGAGGGCACCCAACTCGTATCTTCTTTGAATCTAGAACCTCCCAAATATGTTTGTGGTAAATCCTACTGATTGAGTGAATTAATAAAGTCAGTGGTAGAATTGTGAAAAATTAACTTTCCTTAACGAATGTCTAAGAGCAACTTACTGTAGAAGAGTAACGACACTATAGGTAGAGTGTTGATAAATAAGTATTTTATATAAAATAAAACATCTATTGCGACATTACGAAGTAATTAGAATTAATTTGAAAATTTTAAATAATTTATTTAAAACTAAGGCGAATGTCACACAATAGTACAATGTATGTGCATTAGCGATTCTTAAACTATTGAGAAACTTTCTATGATAGTTTTTGATGAATTCATGAAAATGATTAAATAAACCTCGCTCTAGGTCATCCCTTCTTTGTCCTATTTATGATATTAATCATAATAAATATTTATAGCTTTTCTCCTTAGACCCTTGGCGTTTATTTAAAACAAAATGTTACATCTTAATTTAATGTAGTTAAAAACGTTTTAAGAAAAGACCATTTGTTTTAGCACGATGTGTTTAGGGATGTGTGTTTCCTTGCCGTGAAAAAATGGGACTAATGGTGTAGAAATTAATAATTATGATAAGAAATATCGACGAAGGCGCGGGTATATAAGCTAGCCTAATACAATATTTTAAGAAAAGTACCAGATTTCTATTGGCAATATATTTCACAATTCAGGAATTTTACCACGACTACAATACAAGATATAACAAAATTTTTTCAAAAGATGTCCAATAATGGTAACAAAATTTTAATATTGAAACTCCTCTAAATTATCCTAGTAATTATAGTCCGCTCTGGTTACCGTTAGACGCCGACTTGTATACTGTCTGCACACAATTTCATTATATTATGATTTTTTCCGCAAATTGGAATATTTTCTACAGAAAGTTAAGTCAATGAAAAGTGTTTTAATAAAGGATTTTTACATATATACACATATACTATTTATAGCCCTCCAGAGAGCAAAAATACCGGGTAAAATAAATAAAAGACTCTATTGATAACACCGTTATTCAGTTTCTTCTTTTTCTCTCGCTCTTCTTCTACCTCGTTGGGGTCGACACAACACGTAAATCATGTTGTTAATGGTATTGGCTAAGTTTTTGTTGTTTTTACGATTGGCCGCCAGCATGACGTCAACCCAGGTAAAGAAGAAAATACTTGGGAATAAACACCAAGATCCGGAACAATTATGTGTAGGCCACACAAATACTTGTCCCGTGAGGGAATCAAACCAACGACTTAGTTTTAATTTAGTTTAATAATTGAAAATAAGTTACGTACTATTATGTTACATTACAACCATACGGAAAATTTGTAACAAAAACGTGTGATTTTCAGAAAAAGCTTGGACCGATGGATGCCCACTTACCATCGGTTGGGAAATTGCTAAAACTCTAGACTTCATGGTAAAAGATCCTGCTGCTAGAAAGCATCTCCATCGATTACAATCACATTTGCAAGACTTTTCCAGAATCGCCATTTTCGGATATGTATCCTTTAAATTTTAAATATCAGTAGTGAAAAAATGGTATCTTGTGTACAATTTAACATGGAATAAAACTGGCACGTACATTGTTCGTCGCACGTAAGTCATCTGTTCCCATGATTAAAAACCTAGATACTCTACTGCATTGGGAGAAAGTCTGTAAGTATGGCTGTTTAACATCTCAATCTTCATCTTTACATTCAAGCGACATTAGGTGTGGAAAGTTGAGTTTCTATCGACGCAGATATGGATTTATTTATAACTTTTTTCTGCCATGATAATAATTGTTAAGTAATTTAAATGTAATTATAATAATTTAAATTTGTTTACTGAAAATCGCTCAATTACCTCTATTCATCGTTAAATTCGGATGATCAGATAGCTCAATAGTTAGGTTGTCACTTGTTTTGTTGCCAACTCCCATCGTTCACCGTCTTGTGGGTCGATTCCCACACGGAACAAACATATTTGTTATTCATAAATGGTTGTTCTAAGTGTAGGTGTATTTGATTCTCCAGTTTTGTAACCTCACGCGAAAAATTTCGTTCCAAACATCATGTGTTACACGTTATTCCAATTTCTAATTATACTTTGACTAACATAATTTGCTAAATGTCAAATGCAAATTTTCGTCAAAGAATTATCCGCTAAGAACCCTAAAACACGGGCTGGAAATTGATATTTAAGAAATATATCTCAATAATATACTTTAAAAAATTCACAGAAAATTGATGTTTTGGATAATCTTTGCAATGTGTTAGAGTTCCTCGGTGAAAACATGTCCGCAGAGTACAAGTTAAGGGAAGAATTTATTCTCTTGTTGCACACAATGAACAAGCCCATATTATTGAATGTTGCTTCAGATGTTGTAACTTATTACAGATCCCTAAGAAACTATATAAATTACATGGGTTGGTATTTTTAGTTATTTCTTTGTACGTGTTACATGACTTGTTTTGACTCTGTACAAATTATTCTAGTTATACGGGTAAAAATGTAATAAACAATTTTTGCGGTGGTGGGGCCACGAAACACGTCCGGGTAAGTACCACGACCTCACAGAAGATCGGCTTAAAGTCGAAGTGTTAGTTACACTTCAACGTTTCGTCTGGTGATTTAGCCGGGGCCCACTTTATTTACAGGGGGCAAGGCATTTTCAATCGTACGGGTGTTGCAAATGTCCATGGGCGGCGGTTATCACTTAACACCAGGTGGGCCAGGTCGTTTGCCACTATATCACATAAAGAAAATTAATTTCTTCTATTATAACAAAGTAACGACACGATGTGTTGCAAGATTATTAATCCTTAGTTAATATATGTATAGTATTAGTTTTTAGTTTAAAATAGAAAAAAATAGATATTAATTAGTCACCCCTTCAAGTATTAAGGAAGCCTTATTGCTTGTACGGAAATCAATTTCCACGGACTAAACACATGACCATCAACGGTACAAGACCATCAACGGTCTAAGCTAAACTATCGATATTGGTACGCCTTCAGGACGCTAAGAGCCACTAATGGAACATTCGTTGTAGCCGATGTTTTAATTACCATTATATTCATTTATTTGCCAAATGGACATGTAATGAAACCGAAGTCCGCAAATGAAATATTTCAATTTAATTCTAGATAAGTTTTAATAGATCAACAATACGACCGTAAAAATAATAAGTGATTATCGTACGACACTCAGATGCGCTGCTCAAAAAAACTGTGCTTCAATGAATTTAATTAACTATTCACCCTTATGATGAGGTGATGAGTTCACCCTTATTCCTCTAAAAAGTACAAATGTAAAAGTTGTTTTACAGCCATCAATATCACTCCATTGTTATAGTCAAAGGGGGCAGGGCGACAATTCTGGAGGGAGTTTTACTTTTATTTTGGAGGCACTAAAGTTATGGAGCAAGTGCGTGTCCGACAAGATTGAGTGCTCGGGCCGCTTGGTACCCCGTCCTACTTTTGGTTTAATCTAGAACGTGAACGTTCTAAATTCAAACTTTCTATTGTACCATAACAATGTATAGGTTATGGTGCATTGGAAACTAAAAGGAAGCGTTACATTTTGTTCTTTGTTACAGTCGTTTCAAAAGATTTTATTATCAAAGATATGACACTAGCGCACCGAAATTGAGGCACTCAAATAACACCAAATGGTGTATTAATGTAATTAGATTGCAATTCTATAGACTGCTATCTCTTTCCGTATCATACGTTCTACATCATCGGTCACATTCACTTTAATATGTCATAATATAATTTAAAGCCGAACAATTTTTAAATGCCGCGCAGTATGGACATGCGTTATCTATATTATTAAACATCATTGGTCGTTTCATAACAGTATATTTTGATTAAATCTTAACGGACCATTATTAGTATTAGTTGTGTATCAAATAAAAACATTGTAACGTTGAAAATATACCTTGCTGTGTATGCCGCCAGCATAATGGCCAGTAGTTAAAGCAATTAACACCTCTTGCATCACATGAACTTCCTACTACTATCATCGAATATTTGCCAAACATATGTTAGCTTCATTATTGGTCGAGGTCAAATGAAATTTTTTACTTGCAAAGAAAAAAAACTTGCTTTCAGTTTTATGTTATATTTTGTAATTGACTTCTTCTTAACTTCTTCATAAAACCTTCATGACGATGATGATGATTTTAATATATACACAACCTGGAACTCTTACAGGCTACCTCCTCATGCGTCTAGAAGATGACTTCAACTTTGACCTGGTGTCTCAGGCTCTAGACTGGCATCTGTCGTCACCCAATTCGAAGCGTCCAAGCGGTACCGTCAAGCTAAACCACACGCTCGCAGCAGCAACAGACCTATGCGAAACTGCCGTCAGGATGCTGTCATTGTCCACCGTGCATCGTTTTGCAACCTTTCTGGAGATCGCTCTCCTATTGGCATACGACAACGTCGATAACTGTAATTCTTTATAGTATTCGGGTTAGAATTCAAAACAAAACGTAATCAAGTTTACCTGAAAAACACATTTAGTTACAGATATGTTTCCTTATCATAAATAATATACACACCCCTGCACAATTAGCTGAATACAGCAAAAATAATTATTATCTTTCATATCTATAAAATTCTCGTGTCACGGTGTTTGTAATTGAACTCCTCCGATTTTCGTGAAATTTTGTGTGCATATCAGCCAGGGTGGAGAATCGGACAACACCTATATTTATACCCCTAAATGTTAAGGGTGGTCCGCCCCAAACATATTTTTCTTCCCTACAAATAATTTATATGGCAAAACAACGTTTGCGGGTTAGTTAGTTATTATATATAAAAAACTGGCATTTCTTAATTTCATAATATTATTACTAGAGACCCTCCCTGGCTTCGCACGGGTGCAATGTATTATACATATGAACCTTCCTCTTGAATCACTCTATCTAGTAAAAAAAACCGCATCAAGATCCGTTGTGTAGTTTTAAAGATCTAAGCTAATATATAGGGACAGACAGACAGCGGGACGACTTTGTTTTATACTATGTAGTGATGCACAGCAACGAGACGTTTACATTTCCAGTGACATTTTACCACAGTCACTCACTTGTTTTGCCTTCCCGGAACCCCTCCACTAACTTATGATATTAATACTATGGTATAGTATTAAAGTGTAAATTGACTTAAGTATTATTATGAAAAGTGTTGTTTTTAGACTTTTTCAGGCAATTTTTTAAATTTTTTCTTTCATAAGAACCTTCTGATAATAACAAATACAACAAAAAAAGTGAAATCGGTCCAGCCGTTCACGCGTGATGGAGTGATCAAGGGAAATATTGATTCATTTTTATATAATATATAGGTAGATAAAATTTTCAAAATGGAACAGTGAATGCTTACAGTTAATTTTTCATGGATTTGTTTCTATTAGCGGGTCATACCTATTTGGTAATGGTTCGAGCTCGGTCTGAGGAGGGATTTAAAACTTTTTATAAATTCTCAATTTTATCAGTAAAACTATAATTACTTTAACTTTAACTATATTTTTTTACTTTAGTCGTGTATAGACACAGCGCGACTTTTAACGTTCCACCAATTGTGTCGGTGTGTATATTTTTAGAAAAGTAATAAAATTGCTGTTTATTCCATATTATTTTCTTAATTTAAAGCATAATAACTGTGGTATTGCCACACAACAGTCTTCACTATTGTACGAATGGGCAGGTCCGTCGATATAAGTACCACAACCTCACAAAGGACTGACGTGAAGTGAATATTTTATACTTCTGCGTTTCGTCTGGTGTTTGAGGTAGCCGGGGTCCACTTTATTAAAAGGTGGCAAAGCATTTGTAAATGTCATTGGGCGGTGGTTATCACTTAACATAAGTTGAACCGCCTTCTCGCTTGGAAACTTTTCACATAAAAAAACACACAGTTCGACCACATTAAGCATATTTCCTTAACAGGTGTAAGCATGATGAAGGAAAACATCCTGGAATGCATCTTTTATCGCTTCAACCCATATTTCCCAGAAAAGGATTTACCAAATTATGATATAAATCCAGCAAACCCGGAGGATATGAACGTTAAGTTAGGTTGTATTTTATACTTTGCTGTAATTTTAATCTTATTAAGTCATCAATATACATCATCATTATATCATTTATTTTACGCGCGCTCGTTCATAACTAACATGCACACAAATTCATTTCAAAAGTATACGACGTTTTTATGCACGACTATCGCATCGTCAACACGTTCTGTTTTTAGGGAATGGAATGGCATTTTTTGAAAAAAAAAAAAACATTGTTTTTATTTCAAAAAATTATACTCAGGAGTCTGATCCTCCTGCGTGAATGTTGGCACCTTTACAAAAGCCACCCTGTATGTATTTAGATGTTCTCTTCATATCGTTTAGGTATTTATTATTAAACCCTGATAGTTTTCTGGCATGATGGTTTGATACAAATGTACATAATTATTAAAGACTAAGTTTTTAATTATTATATAATAATTATTACTTATAGCGTAAGCAACTTTATATGTATACATATTTATTTTATAGGACAGAGTAACGTCCTATACTAAAGGTAAGTAGTTCTTCCCTAACACTTTTTTTTTGGCTTGATGAGTCACTGTTGGCCTTAGGGGCCTTTACAGTTTCGCCGGACTTGAGGTACCCGGGCGCTCGAGGCGCCTAGCCTGAACTTCGGCGTATTATTATTCCGCGTTATGGTGACTAAGCTCGAGGGCTCGAGGGAGCCTCGGCTCGGGCCGTCACGCTATTATTATCATTACCGGTTAGGGAGGCCACCAAGCTCTTAGAGCGCTTTGGTGGACGCTCCATAGAGTGACTAGGCTCAAGGGGCCCACGAGAGGGTACCTCGGCGTGGGCTGTCCCTCAATATCCGTTTAGCATTCCGATTCGAGGGTCCCCAAGAGGGCCGGACCTCGGCTCGATCGGTAGCTATTATCTGACTGGTCTCTAACACCTTGTGCACTTATATACAAAAACCAATGAGTCATTAAAACTACACCAAATCAATCCACTCATAAAATTATTGCTACAGTTATCAAATCGGCTCATTAAATTATAAATGGTTATTAAAAATGTTTCTTTATATAATATTATAGGTATCAGTTTAATATAGTATAATATTATAGGTATCGGAATCTCGGGAACGGCTGCAGCGATTTTCATGAAATTTAGTATTTGCTTAGATTCGGGGGCGAAAAATCGATCAGGCCAGATTTCATTTTTAGAAAACGTCGTTTTATCCAGTTTTCAGGGAATAAAAAATATGATTCGAATACGACGGTAAATTTTACCGAAAAAAAAATGTTAAAAAGTAGCGCGGTCGATAATCCGGCGGCCCTGAAACAAAAGGACGTGGTTCGTGTCACGATTATTTATTTTTGCTTTCTTTTTTTTTTTTTTTACTTTTATTGTCAATATAGATGATTTTGTTATTTTTTTTCCCTTTTTTTTAAGTTATTGCTTTTGTGATAAGTACCAGTTCATATTTTCTTATTATTATCTACGTCGGTAAGATGGAAACATATTATGCATATTTCATTACTCAGTAATTTATATCTAAATGTCATTTCTAAAATACACGAATTACTAAAAGAAAACAAACCGAGCAAAGTTCCGTTCTCCAGGTACTTCTTATTATATTAGGCAGTGCTGTCAGTGGAATGTAACATAATATAAAAATCAATGTTTTGTTTGTGTATGAGAAAGTGCCAATCACTAGTTAATAAAAGGTCACTGTATGATACCCTCCTTGAGGTATACATACAAAATATGAATGATTAAGAGGGAATCTACATGCAATGAGCTAAGCTATTTATATATTTTTTATAAGGTGTGATGGTAATCAGCTATGCAGCCTTAATAGATAAACGCAATGGCTCTGTAAAAACAAGTCACTCTTGCCTTGAAAATAGGAACAACAGGATTCAACGTCGTCCCGCACAAATTGAGAGTGATATAATTTACAGGAGCTAGCAGCATTCACATATCCACGGCAATTACCCTATTGATGGTGTTGTTGAAAACTACAAAAGAAATTTCGGACCGGGATCCCAAATTTTGTTTAACCTTGCCATGTCCGGATGCCTACAGTCAAAGGTAAGTGTATAAAAATTTTAAAGCAGAATTGCAGTGTGACTAACTTCTTTGATACCATATGTTATATGTATAAATAATGTATGATTGCCAGAATTTGCGTATACTTATATATTATTACATTTATGATACACCAATACAATAACACCATTTTTTTCATTAGCGGAAAGTGGATTTTGGTAACAATGTCTCGTCGAGTATTTACGTCATATCTAAAATTCTCAAGCGCGATATTTAGCACGTGCTGCTTTCCGAATCATGTCACCGCCGACCGCCCCAATATTTTATTTCGTCTATGTACTTACATTGGGTATTCGCCATTCAATCCAACTGTACATCACATCCATCTAGGCTGTAATCACTTATTAATAATAAATAAATACCAAATAAATAAATATCATAGTAACGAGAAAATAAAGGAATACCCCCATAATGACAATTAATATTTTCCGACACATTTTTACACAACGTTCTCTAGTCCCAAACTAAGAAACGCTTGTACTATGGGTACTACATAACTGATAAACATACTTTTCTCGTGTAATTAAATCCATATTATACATATATAAACACCCAGACACTAGGAAAACACTATGTTCATCACACAATATATTTCCAGTAGTGGGAATCGAACCCACACCCTCTGGCGCAGGTAGTCAGGCGCAAATCGGGTCGTCATACATATTCTTTCAAATGTTTCACGCTGTAATGTCCATTTTATGGAAAAGGTGCTTCGCTTGGGCATATCGGTACGAGTGTCGGGCACGAGACCACCGCCATGAAAGAGCAATGCTCACAATCCTCACCAGCTGTCTCCTCCACTGTTTTGGGGCTCGGATGACTACTGTTTGCGAAGTTCTAATGGCGGGTACGAGAAACAACTTGTATATACTCTAATACTAGTCAATCCTATTTGACTGACTCCGTCTTTGACAGATATTTCCAGGACGTATAAAGTTTGCTAATAGATGGATTATAGACAACAAAAAAAGAGACAATCTTTAGCAAATTCACATGTCTCAAAATATGTTATATTTTTATTTTATTTAGAATTGGCCAGCACTTGACTTGCCATCCCACCTGATGGTAAGTAGCGATGCAGTATTTGATGGCAAGCGCGCTAGCTCAGTAAAAACCTATTCACTCTTGCCTTGAAGACGCCTACGTTGTAATCGGAAGGAAAGACGGACGCCTGCAGGTTGTTCCATTCATTAGCTGTACGGATGATAAATGACGAAACAAATCGCTTGGTTCTTGTTCTGGGAACGTCAACAGCATAAGGGTGGAGTCTCGACGAACGCCTAGTTGTCCGATGATGGGCAGGAGGAATCAAACAACGCACACTCCAAA